TAACTCTTCAAAGTTATAAAAAAAAATTATATTTTTTGCAAATTTAGTCTCAATCAGGTATCCATAAATTGTAATTCTTGCAAACTTGGTTGAGTAAACAGCTCTGATGAACTCTGCCGATTTTCTAATAATGGCTTTTCTATCTATATCTATTTTCAAAATGAAACAAATATTATCCAGTTGCACCATTTTAATTGAAGATTGATATACAAACAAATAGTTCTCAAAATACTTATTACAACTTTATCCACGGAAAAATCGTGTCCTGCAGTTTGTGGTCAAAAAGTAATTTCCAGTAATTCTGTAAACGAAACCATATGACATGATATTGTTTCAAACAATAATTAGGTATCATATCATAACATTATATAAAACTTACGCCCTATTTCCACCCATACGGCTGAATGTTTGGGAATTGCAGAGATTGTTCCCGGCATCAGCGTAGCTTCCCACAACTTCTCGAGGTGAAATAGTTGTTATTGATACTTTCGGCGTATAAGCTCTGTTGTGAGCGCAGGTACCAGCAATACCCAAGCCACAACTTGGTTGCGTTTTTCCACCATTTGGAGAATAATCAACGTGTCCCAACCAAGAAGTCCATCATTAGTGTGAATTACATGAACATATCGAGCGTCAGTTGGGTCTAAATGGTTGCGAGTGTTGCTGGAAAAGAAGATTGTACCAGCGGGGTCAAGTCCGATAATGGTAGCGATGACCGTTGCATTTCTTGCACCTGCGTTTCCTAGCGAATAATTATCCAATGATAATTTACATTGAACTTGTCTGCGATATGGGCACCAAATGAATTTTCAACTATGGTAACTCTATCAAATTTGTGGTCAAGTTCTTTGTCAAAAAGTCTCCGATGAACTTTCCTGCAGCCATGACAGATTCCTGAGCGGTAACGTATATCTGTGAAGCGATTGAGCTCCAGTTAACTACAATGACGTTGAAGTAGTGCCATGGAAAAATAATTGCATTTTTAATACGGTCATTAACACTTCGATGATTTTCTTCGTCCATCTTCTTCCTCAGATCTTGCGACGTGGCCTGCCCATTTCCACTTCTGTTTTGCGATACGTTCTACAATATAGTCCACCCCAGTTCTTATGCGGATCTGATCATTATTCCTTCTTCGATCTTTTAAAGTTAATCCAAGCATGGTTCTTTTAATTTATCTCTGTGTTACTCTCAACTTTTCTTCTTGACTGGGAGGACGCACTGGCTGAATAGACGTTGCAGGGATATTGAAGTGTCAGCCCTAAACACATCCTCCATTTTCCCGAATGCTGCCCATCCCAAGGTTATTTTTCTCGTCAATTCGCATGTTTGGTTATCTCTGTGAATTCTCATCTCATGACCCAGGTATACGTACTTGTCCACTATTTGTGCAATGTTATTATTGCCTATCTGTATCTGCTCACTGGGAAACAGATTAGTCATCATTTGGTTTTGGAGAAGTTATTCTTTAGGCCAACTTCTTGCGTGGAATTTTGAAGTTCCTAAAGCATTTCTTTAGCTTCGCCCAGACTGTCTGATATCAGGACAATATCATCTACAAAGCGAAGATTATTAAGAGTTTCTCCATCGATGATTATTCCTTTTCGCTCCCAAGGCAAAGCATGTTGGAGAACTGTGCTGAACGGCTTGGATGACATAGAGTCACCCTATATCGGATTCCTGTTTCGATTGAAGTGGAGATTTACGGTGGTCGTGGCGTTCCGTATATACTTTCTATAATTTCGCAATATCGGTGATCATTAAATCTACTTTCTTGTAGTGATCTCAAGATTGCAGGAAGTTCCGCACGGTGGCGAACGCCTTCTGGAAGTCAAAAAAACATCAATACCAAAGGACGGTTGTATAATATACAATAATTTTTTCTATGCGGGTTTTCAGAGACTGAAGATAATCGGAGCGGAAACCTGCCTGTTTCCTGATGTCTTAAAATAAATCTCTCTTAAATGTAGCAAACTGGGATTCTGATCATTACCTACTAATAAATATACCGCCGACTAAATTGAACATATCTTGAGCAAATTGTGTCAGTTTTCGTTTGAGATAATTACCCAAGCAGCAAGGGGTAGTTGAATCAACGTTGATTAAAGATTGATTGATGTTGTAGGCGTTGATATACCAAAAATCAACGTTGAATGGCCATTATGAAAACAACGTATTCGTCAACGTATCCTAAGCAAAGTCTATTCAACGTTGAATATAGGTTGCAGGAGACATTGCAATTTTGAAAAACAATTCGAACCCATTGGTACCAAAGTATAGACTAGGTATAGTAACTTTGAATAGTTAAAACACTGTTTTTTTTTCTGTTTGATTTAGCCCATCACTGGACGTTGAATAAACGTTGAATGGAGGTTTAAAATGTTGTTTGAAATAAATATACGTTATTAGTAAAATTTAAGATATCAATAAAAAACCAGATATTTATTATTATATATCTTAATGGATGCAGGTTTAATGTTTAAAGTTCCAACATTCGACATGAAATAATATTATATAAGTTGCTTAAAGGTAGATAAAGTGGTTTCTCCATGCAAATTAATTCAAACTTCTCGCTAAGGTACATCGCGTCCTGCCAATTGCCGCCAGCGCCCTCTGCGCCCAGCCTATCATTGCATTGACCACGCATTGGCGTCTGGCCGCTGGCTGGCGTCATCACGTTCATCGCGTCATCCTTCTTATTCACTCACGTTTTTGATAATTTTGTGTAAATTTAAAATTATTGAAGGTGTAAAAGGTGTTATGATTTTTGTCATTGTGTGTCTATTAATGTGTCCAGCCTGGATTTAACTTCGATTGGTGGAAAATGGTGGTAGGCGTTTGTATACCTCTCAATGCCTATTTAAGAGCAAGCCAGTTGACTTTTAACAATCCTCCAAATTATGTTTTATTTTGATCAAATTTGTGTCCCCTTACTGTTTCGATGTATTAAATTTTGTGTCAAAGATTTTGTGTTTATTTAAAAAAGTTGTGGAATAAAGTAGGTACCTATAACCTCAAACATTTTGATGATTTTATTTTATTTGAAAACTATTTTGACAGACCCAGTGTAGCAATTAAGCTACTTTGTCATTTTATTATTATTTTAAGTATGTATATTTTTTATATTTCAGGTGTTTTTTATCACTATATATTAATTATTGTAATGCATTTAAGGCAATTGCATACGTATTTCCATTTAAATTTAGGTGTAGATTGCAATTAGGAGTGAACCTGACTTTAGTACTGCTTCCATTCAAGTGGCACCAGCCCATCTCTATTTATTGATTTTCGCCCAGCCCTATATCCTTTCAATGCCATCTTCGGCTAACTTAATTCTAATTCTGCAATTTTGATTGTGCACGACCTTATCTTAGGACGAGTCAATCTTTAGCGTACGAGGTAATATTTAATTTAGGGTGACACTGGGTTGGAATCTTATTATTCTTACATTCATTAATTTGACATACTAGATTTTGCATCTTTTCATTAAACTTTTATTAAACATAATTAAGTGGAGAGCGTTGCTGTATTATTTGTTTTTATTCTTGATATTTCAGATTTTATATTCAGGTCTATTTCGGAGTTTGAGACAAAAACTTCGTGGCGCCCTTAGTAAAAACCCCTTACACACGACCATAAATGCTTTCCGATGAACAGCTGCCGTAAGCAATAACACCTTTTTAATCCAAAGTAATTGAAAACGTTACACCAGCTATAGAACAAGTTTCATAAGATGCAATTTGATATAAAATGTCTTATGAAGCATGTTCTTTGTACTATTTTTTCTGCTTCAAGTTGTCAAAAAAATAAAGGTTGAGCTCAACCTCAGGCTCAACGTGAAATCTGACGTCTCGAATACATCTGATCAACGTTAGGCTCAACGTGAAATCTGACGTCTCGAATACATCTGATCAACGTTGTTATAAGATTGAGGCCAACGTAAAAAACGATGTTAATTCAACGATCACATTCAACGTTGTCTCAATTATGACATTGTGCCATCCTGTCAACGTACATTCAACTGTTGTTACAACGTAATGCAACGTTGGGAAGTATCGTACTTTCAACGTTGTATCGACCAAACCTTGCTGCATGGGTACATAGACCAAGATTATCAAAAATTTACAATTTTAATTTTTATAGGTAATTTTACAGACGTTATTCTTTACCTGATTTGGCTACGGTAACAGCCAAGAACTGCTTTGAATCACATTCATTTTTGAGCTCTTCTGAACAGCTTTAGGCCAAACAACTCAGGAAATGGAATCGATTGAGTGCATTCTTACAATCGAATATTTATAGGAAACTCAGTTTCTCTTTGAGCCTAATGGTTTTTGATAAGATCAAGCTCATGTCAAGGTAAATCATGCACTTTCAGTTACACTGTTGATCAAAATAGCGAATCGTTATTTATCCTCTATTTATTCTCATTAGAAAAAAGGATTAAAATGTAATGAAGCATAGCAAATCAATCAAAAATATCTATGGCATTTAATCCTAAAAAAATTCTTCCTGATTTTTACAAATGATTATGAAATCACAAAGTAAACTATAGAGATAAAGCAAAAAGTGGTAGGTCGACGCACCTGGAAATTAGGAAACGTTATTCGAGCAAGCAAGTAACTAACTATAAGAAAATTAGCCAATTTAGATAAACAAAGTCTGAGGTCTCAAGAAACGAAATCAATTTTGTATAATTCGAATCAGATTAAATTATATTTAGTGAGTTGTATTTGCAATATTTGACTCTTTTAATATTTAATAATAATTTTTAAATCTAGTTATCGTTCGACCTTATGTAAATTCTACATTTTTGTATTTGATCTTTTGTTATTCGACTTTCTGTGAATTCGATTCGATATTATTCTTTTGAGGATTTTCTTCCGAATGATGCTCAAGCCAACCTTTTTCTTCTCTTCACTTTTTCTATATGATTTTCGGTTTTATAGTAATTTGTTTATGTAATTTCACCAAAGGCAAAATATACTTTTAAATCAGGTAGTACTTGTTGACTTGCATTATTGTGATATATTTTTTCCAAAAACTGGTTTTGTAGAGGAAAAAAAGCAAAAAACAGCGTTACATTGAGAGATGCATGAAATTTATTACATAATAAAACACTAGAAATGCTTATCCACGGGCAAAAGGTGATCCTTTGTTTGTATACAGGTAGTAGTTTCCAGTTGATCTAAAAATAAAAGCAAATATTATTCTTTTGAAATAAATATAACTACCACTAAACAGCAGCAAGCACATTCTACATTGTGCCTAAGTGTAAGCTGATACGTACGTTCTAACTATGGGAAATCCACCCATGTTGCTGGGTACATTTTCACCGCACCTTTTCTTCTGGAAATTAGAATAGCTTCCGCAAAGTTTAGAAGAGAAATTGTCGTTATCAAGACTTTCGGCGAAAAATTTGTAGGCTCTGGCGTGAGCACAGCTACCAGAAATGTCCAGACCGCATCCTGGTTGGCTTTTTCCACCATTGGGGAAATAATCAGCATGTCCCATTTTGATACCCCACCCAAGACGTTTATCGTTGGTGTGAATTACATGCACATATTCAGCGTCAGTTGGGTCCAAACGATTGTTGATGTTTTTAGCTGAAAATAATGGACCAGCGGGGTCAAGACCAATGATCGTGGTAATGAGTCCTTTGGTTCTTGCACCAACGTTGCCTGAAAATAATATGGTAATAACATTTTTCAAATACATGTAGATGTCTTACCAGAAACATGCGCACCAAGTGAATGTCCAACAATGGTCATTTTATGTAGTCTGTGATCGAGTTCATCATCAAGACGGAGCAAGAAGTCACCAACATAGTTTCCTACAGCCAAAACGGATCCTTTAGCAGTGACATAGTTTCTTGAGGCGATGGGGCTCCAGTCAACTACAATGACGTTAATGTTGTGGTTGCGAAGAGCTGCGTTTTTGATGCGATCATTGACAGGAGCTGTATAGTCATTTCTCCAACCATGAATAACCACTAAGGTTTGTCTACGGATGTTGAATCCAGTCTTGCGGACAATATCGTGGAGCTGACTGGCTCTTACTTGTACACCTTTGCACACAAAAAATACTTTTAGTCGGTTTATTTGGGCAGTTTTCTAAATTAGTTTTAGATGGCGCAATCATGGTAAAGTATCTACATACTCCATGAAAATGATTTCACAGAACGTTGTTCGTTAATGTTAAGTAGGTGTCGTACCAAGGGCATAGGAGGTAAAGAAAATCAAATTCCCCTAAAACGAAAATGTCTGCATCTATCTTCTTCAAACACATTGAACAAAGAGTGATATTAAACTTCATGAAAAAATATTCAAAACAAAACGTGAGTACATATCAAAATACTATACTCTAGTAGAAATTATAAATAGGTAGGTACCTACTATTCCAATTGCTACTTACTACATATAAAATAAAACAGAATTCGAAATTACCTCTATCAGGGTTTTCTGGGGTGAAAATATAGAAAGTAACATCTTCATTAAGAGATTTCGTCGTAATATTGGCAACACTGGTTTCAAGGTCGTCAACTTCAAATAGTCCTTCTTCGACTTCATATATTAAAAATCTGGGGTCGTTGATTAGTTCATCAGTGATTTGGGAAGTTCGTAGTAGATTTACTGAAAAGTTTAAGAAATTTATCTGATGGCCAATAGGTACCTATTGAATTATAATAAATTTAACAGTGTGATTCAAAACAAAAATGGATCAATCCTTGCCTAAAAGTACTTACACATTACGTTCAGTTATACAATTTGATTACGTATTGTGATTACAAAATCCTAGTAAGTATACTACATTTTAATCCTACCAAAATAGTCGTATCTTTACCTGATTTAGCAAGGCTAACAGCAAAAATTGCGGCTAACACTACAATAATTTTCATCTTTTTTGAGCAATTTATCCAAGCAATAAGAATAAGTGACTGAATTACAAAATCTATGACCCAGTATTTATAAGAAACCCTGCTTATTTAGAGCTTATGTAGTTTTTTAAAGATAAAAAGCATTTGTAATCGGTCAAATCAAATTACAAGTAGGTATTATATTGGCTTCAAAATTGTCTTTGTTATTCGATAATATCCTAAGTTTTTAATCCAACTATTTTTTTTAGATTTTATTTTGTTCTTTGGGTCAAAGGATTAGTTAATCCCGGTAAGCGCAGCTAGTAAATCATTCGAAATATTATTATTGTACATCCAAAATGTCACTTTATAATATAAGGAATGAAAATTGATAAAAAATAGTTATTTTTGAATAGGTTGTACGAACTTAATCTATGGCAGATCCTAAATTTCTTCTAAGATAATTTGTTGAAATAGGATGAGTTCACTCATTTTTCGGTATAGTTATGGTAGCACATTTTCTCTGTCTTCAAAACCTTATGAAAAACCAAAAATTATACCAAAGAGGTTAAAGCCAGGTTGACACGGTCCAAGTGTACTTGGATCAAGTACCCATGGACGCTGCGCGCACCTCACTTCGACGATACGAAGATCCAAGTCCAGTTGAATAGTCCTGAAATCCAAGTAAGTTGGCTGGCTTCCAACTTACTTGGTCCAAGTTGTCATCCAAGTGCACTTGGACCAAACACTAGGACGCTGCGCGTGCCCCACTTGCACGATACTTGGTTCGTATCAACTGTTTGAGCCAGGTTGACACGGTCCAAGTGCACTTGGATGAGAACTTGGACCAAGTAAGTTAGCAGCGAGCCTACTTATTTGGATGTTAGGACCCATCTAACTGGATTTGGATAAGCAGGTTGATACGATCCATGTATCATCCAAGTGAAGCGCGCGCAGCGTCCAAGGGTATTTGATCCAAGTTCACTTGAACTGTGTTAACCTGGCTTTGTCCAAGTCTAGTTGAATAGGTTCTACCATTCAAGTAAGTAGGCTGGCTGCCAAATTACTTGGTAAAAGTTGTCATCCAATTGCACTTAGACTAAGCACTTGTACCGTGTCAACCGAGCCCTTGGATGCTTCGAGCGCTTCACTTGGTTCGTATCAACTGTTTAAGCCAGGTTGACAAGGTCCAAGTGCTTGGTCCACTCCAAGTGCACTCGGATGAGAACTTGGACCAAGTAAGTTGGCAGCCAGCCTACTTACTTGGATGTTGGGACCTATCCAACTGGACTTGGATAAACAGTTGATACGATCCAAGTATCGTACAACTGAGGCGCGCACATCGTCCAAGGTTATTTGATCCAAGTACTCTTCAACCGTGTCAAACTTACTTGGCCCAAGTGCTGATCCAAGTGCACTTTCTGTTCATCTGTTGCTGATGCATATTGACATTGTTTTTACATATTTAACTCCAAATTTGCAATTGACAACACTGATGGTGCTTAATATCGATATGTGTTTACAAGTTTTTTAATAATATATATTTGTATTTGTATTTTAACCTTTCTATTTTTTACATACCGATAATGTTTCTTCGAAAGGATTATTGATCGAGTGATTTTAACTCGCACTTGGATTTACTTATGCTTATGAAACTTTTTTTTTTTTTTAATTTTTGACAATCTATTATTAACAAGTTTCAATATCTTAGTATTAGTGCTGGAGAAAGCATTAAAAAAATACCAAACTCAATTACAAATAAACAGTAGTAATTCTTCTGCCGACAAAGCATGCAAAATCGTTATTGCAACGCAACTGTCGATTCAACTGTGACCGATTGCGAAAATTACGAAAATTTTTCATAATGACAAATACCACGAAGCTGTTGTTGCAATCGAAACAACACTGCAGATATTCCCACTTCGTTTTAATCCTAGATTTCCATCCATCAGTTGCCGATATGGGCGAACAAAAATATTTTTTTTGCTGTGTTTTGGCCTTTCTGTATGGTGTTTCTTTTTCGTTAAAAATCCAAAAATATTTGATTTACGTGATTGTTATTCTATTGATTTTCATTCGGCCGAAAAATGCGAGACAACAGAGATACGTTGGCTTATCCGGGTGCGATATCATTTCTCCTTTGGAATATGAATGTTGCGCTGGTGTTAATTTGGCAAATGTTCCACAAAGCGACTGTAAGTTTTAATGTAGACAAAATCTAGAGTTGGGACACTCAGTTCATTGAAGTTGCTAAGATTTACGTATTATTATTTTTTAGACTGTTTGCACATCACGGCAGTACCAAATGAACTTACTTTGAATTTGGATTTAAAGGTGAATGGAAACTCATTTTATAATGGAAAAATAGGTAGGTGATTATGATTTTTTGAATTTTTTCGAGCTGGTTAATCTGGAAATATTATGTAACATGGTTAGGACCAGTGGCTCATCTAGACTGGGAGTCAAGGGAAGGGGGAGCAGGGATTTTAGTCCTCCACAAGGATAAGAATCGCTGAAAGTTTCAGCTTTCTTTCTATAATAGAAAAAAAGTTATGATGTGATGTTCAAAGTTTTTAAAAATCGAAATCATAAGGTAGGTAGCAAGACCTATAACAGTTTATCCAAAGTAGCCTCTCAGAGTCTGAAAGCTGAAGACTCTTCTGGAAGTCACTCTTTAATCACTCAAAACGCAACTTCCAAAGCCAGAATGAAGCAATATAGATAAAGCCTTATAAGCTCTCTAATTTTAAAACCAATTTTTCCCAACTTGGTTTTTATGCCTGGAGCTTGTTATGAGAGGCTTTTTTTGGTCTTAACAAAGTCAAAAAATTCTCTTATAGCAATTTCTATCCCTTAAAGTTTCTGTCGAGGAAATCAATAAGCATACTTATTCAAAATGACCTACTTTAAAAAACGTACTTCTCGCCCTAATCAGTCAAACCGCAAATTCCAATCAAAATAGAACATGATACAACAAAAAAAAAAACACCCAGTTCTGGGCCTTATAAGTTTTTCTAAGCAATGGAAAACAATTTTTTTTCAACTATATTTGATCACATGAAACATTTTGAATTAAAATGTAGTTGCTACTGTGTTCTTATATTTTTTATTTGTTAACAAATACTACATTTGTATTTGATTTTTTTATATATTTGATTATTGTTGAAACTTACATTGAAATTTACATTTATACCTATTTATTTGTACCTACTTATATCTAATTTGGTTCCAATATTTCATTTATTCTTGTAACTTTGGTAGTGATATGTTATTGATTTAGTTGAAAAGTACTTGGTACTTTCAAGGGGGGCGGTATGTTTAGGCCCGACTTTTGTTTTTGATTCAAGTTGCTTTTGAAAACCAGGTGTATTTTTTAGCACCAGTTTAGTTTTAGTTGTCATTGGTAAGTTGTCAATAAATTAATGGAATGTTCAAGACGTTGTCCGTTTCTGCTTCCCGAATTTTTCGAATTTAGTTGAACGAAAAGGAAAATATACAGCCCACAAGTTTAAGAACAATTCAAACACCTTCCATTTGCTTATTTGCTGAAATCAAACTTTGCTGAAATGGACATTTCTCCCAATGTTTTTCCACTGCAGAAAAGAAGGAATTTATTATGAATTTGATGCATGCAGGTAGTTTGATAATAAGTTATTACAATCTGTTCAGACCTACTTGCTAAAATTCTTAAATGAATAAATTAATCATTGAAATAAAAATGAAACAATTTATGGAGCCAATCTTATATTTAAAACAAAAAGATTTTACATTAACCATACTTATAAAATCTCTTCTTAAGTATTTGCCACTGTCTCAGAAGTAACCTTTAGAAACTATAAAAATCAGTACCATGTGCAACAAATTCAAAAATTTAACACTTGCTAGCTATCGTTGACTAAGGTCCCGTTTCCAATAATTCTCCTATTTTTCGTATATGGTATAAGCCCTACCAATAGTCCGGACGCAATTATCCAAAAACCAGCATGGTAAAACGATTGCTCATAAGAATGCGTAATGTCAAGGAGTAATCCTGGAAAATGAAAAACTTATCCAGTGTAGTATAACATTCACTTAGTAAGATTGAACGATGAGAATTTTAATTAGATACCTTTTAAACAACTAATATTCTGAAAAACTAACTGAAAAACAAATAGGACTTACGTTGTGGAAACTTACTCAATTTTACTTACTGGACATGCGCCCGACATAGCAAATATCTGGGAAATTTAAGGGAAGTTGTGATATGGAGAGGAAACGAGAGCACGGCAGAGAAACACTCGGTCTAACATTCCTCAAAAATCGAAACATACTGTGTCATTTTAAATAATAATTGTGAATCAATATAGTATCCGCCAAACATATTCAAGATTTGTACAAAAAATTATGTTTATATTATCAACCGGCCTGCATTTAGTCAGGGAGCACGTATCAGGAGCCGCTTGAGTACAAGATTATATTGGTTTGAAATTATTCGGTTCAAATTGTAAATAATGTTTAAAATAATTTTTCAATTTTCTCAAAAGATCTTTCAAAGATTTAATGCAAGAAATTAGTACTTAATCGAATCCAGAATATAGCTCTTGGACTAAATTTATTCTTAACCCTTATCTGTAGAGTTTTTGCTGCGTTTTTTTTTTATCGGGGCATTGCCGACAAAGGAAGGAAGACAACCTTGATCACAAATTACCTGGTCCTCCTGGTAGGGGGTTGAGGCATCGGGCTAACTCCCCGTTACTCGGAAAAAAAATTAAACTGTTAAAAGACCCAATCAACAGCCTCGGAACAGGACTGAAAAACGAAGACGAACTAGGCAACGGAAACGGACAATGAGTATCGGTACATGGAACGTCCAAGGAATCTCTAGAAAATTGAATGAAGTGATATCAGAGATAAAATATCAAAAAATGGATCTGCTTGTCGCCACAGAGACCAAAAAGAAAGGACAGGGCTCAGAAAATCTGGGAGAGTACGATCATTTCTTTAGCGGGGTTCAAAAAGAACTCAGAGCGAAGAAAGGAGTCTCGATCTTCATACATAGAAAATGGAGAAAACATATAACATCATGGGAAGCAGTAAACGAAACCATAATAAAACTAAATGTATGTATGTTCGGAAGGAAAATAACAATCTTGGGAATATATGGAGTGAACGACGACGAACCCGTTAATATAAAGGATCAATTTTACCAACAACTCAGTGACCAAATCATAAAAGTAGGAACTTCAAGGGAAATAATATTGCTGGGAGACTTTAACGGAAGAACAGGACGAAAAATCAACGACAAGGTGATCGGAAAATTCGGAGAGAATGTAACGAATAACAATGGAGAAAGGCTCATAGAAATATGCCAACAAAATAACCTAAAAATCCTAAACGGTTACTTTCAGCATAAAGAAATACATAGGTACACATGGAAAAATGAAACTAGACAACAAAAATCTATTATTGACTACACTATCGCTAAACAGAGCTCGAACATAAAATTCCAGGACGTGAGAGCATATAGGGGAGCGACCTGTGGTAGCGATCATTACCTCCTAAAAACAAAAATCTTTATCCCGGGCAGAAACATCGCAAAAGAAAACGGAATGAAAACCCAAGAAGACAATATTGTGCCTGAGAAATACAACCTAAAATCTCTAGAAGAGCAAAGCGTAAAAGGGTTGTACATGAAGAGATTAGATCAAAAATTACAGAGTAGTATGAGCTTCCAAAACCTTGAAATGCATTACCAACATATCAAAGACAGTATTCACAGTGCAGCATTTGAAGCCATTGGCAAATATGAAAAAAAGGGAAGTAGGCCCACACCTTATTGGTGGGATCAAGAAATAGAAAAAGACATAGAAGATAAAAGGAAGAAATACCAACAGTATCTAAGTTCAAATAAGACACGAGACAAAGAAATATATAAAGAAGCACAAGCAAGAGTACGGAATAAAATTGTACACAAAAAGAACGAGTCATGGGAAAGAAACTGTGCGCATATTAATACTTATCTGGGGGGTAAAAGAAACACAGAAAGTTGGAGATTACTCAAAAACATGAGAAAAACAAAAACTAAGAATATTATCAATACAATAACACCCCAGCAATGGGAAGAGTACTTTGAAGAATTACTGACAGAACAGCGGGCAGAGTTTAAAGAAGAGAGGGAACAGACACGAAACATAAAAACTGCAGGATCACCAATAAGAGTTATGCAAGAAGAAGTTAAAAAACACTGCGGCTTCTTGAAAAATGGTAGGGCACCAGGCCCAGGAGAAATATATGGAGAACTGATAAAGTGTGGGACCAATAAACTCTACAAACCTTTAACAAAACTATTTCAAACATGCATAGATAAACAAGAAGTACCGGAAGAGTGGAAAGTAAGCTATTTAACAACGATATATAAGAAAGGAGACAGAAACTAATGCGAGAACCACCGAGGAATTGCAGTAACAAATACGCTGAGCAGAGTGTATGGAAAACTCATAAAAGCCAGAATAGAGAACGAGTACAAAGATAGTGAGGCAGAAGAACAGGCCGGTTTTAGAGCAGGAAGATCAACTATAGACCATTTATTCAGTTTGACCCAGGTAATGGAAAAGAAACTAGCCTATAACCAAGAACTCCATTTACTTTTTGTCGATCTAAAGAAAGCATACGACAATGTTCCGCTGGAAAAGCTTTGGGAAGCACTGGAAAAGACCAATATCAACTTAGAACTAATAAAGGCAGTAAAAACGCTCTATAGTGATGCAAAGACCAAGATTAAACAGGGAAACTCAATCAGTAAAGGCTTTATAGCAACTAAAGGACTTAAACAGGGATGCTGCATATCACCAACACTTTTTAAAATATACTTACAACAAGCGCTCAAAGGGTGGAAAAACAAATGCAGACACATGGGAATACCGCTCAATGAATACAATCTTTATACTTTAAGCTTTGCAGATGATCAAGTATTAATTGCACAGGACTATGATGACCTAGAGTACATGACACGAAAATTGATAGAGGAATACGAGAAATGGGGTTTGGAAGTAAATTTAACGAAAACAGAATATATGACTATAGGAGGTGAACAACGAAATCTGAAATTAAATAACGGACAAGAAATAAAACAATGTTCTGAATACATATATTTGGGCATGAAAATCTCACACGAGGGAACCCTAGACGAAGCAATTAAAGATAGGAATATACAAGGACGCAAGGCAATATCCCTACTAAATGGTGTACTGTGGGATCAAAATATCAACAAAACTAACAAAACGAGAATATACAACACTATACTCAAAAGCATAGTCACGTATAGTTCAGAAGTCTGGCCACTAAAGATCAGAACCGCAAAAATGCTGGAAGCAACTGAAATGGACTTTTGGAGGAGATCGGCAGGCAGGTCAAAAATGGAGAGGATAACAAATCTGAGAATTAGGGAGATTCTGGACCCTAAAACACACAATAATAGATGATATAAAGGACAAACAGCTGATTTGGTTCGGACATGTACAAAGAATGGCAGATACAAGAATACCCAAGCAAATAATAATATATATTGCCGACAAAGAAATTATTTTTTGGAGGAATCTCAAATATCGGTGGCGGCGACTATAATTCAATAATTTAAGTCAATAAAAGTTTAAATTAGGTACCGTCCCTGTTCTTTGTGCTAAAATTTCAATTACACACACTACATTCAATCAACACTGCCTATATTCAATAATGAAGAGGTTTGGTTAGCTAGCCCATCTGTGGCAGGTACCGAGGTCCCTGGTTACGTAAACTCACGGCTATAGTTCTTTTTGAGCCAATATCTCTTTCCTTTGTTCGGTAGGATATTCGCTCGTCAGGGTAGGAAAATGTTAGTAAATTCAACAAGGCCCTAATGCACATAAAGACAGCACATAATTTCTAAGGTTTTAATTTACTCTTTATCTGTGTTGTTTACAGCATGAAACGATTTTGGTTTAATACATAAACAATGCACATGATATAAAAAATTGTTATAAACAAACAAAAAAACATAAAAATTGGAAGAAAAAAATAATACTTGCTTAAATTGAACTCTCAAAAACAAAATAATAATTATTTAACTAACCTGTGAATACTCCTTGACACACACACTAATAATAAATTGGATTGAACAAACAATTTAATGCAAATAGAAATGAAAATTGAATAATGAATTATTACAGACACGCGTCTAAAAAGAACCCTCCCAGCTTCTTCTGTAGTCTAGTTGCGTATTCCTTATCTACCCTTCGCTTAGGTACTTTCGTTTTTCTGTGGCGCGCTCGTTCAATCCTAAACTTGAGGGCGTATACATGGTTGCAACATTTACTTTTATTCAGTAAAAGATTTAAAGAAATAATATTTTGTGATACCTAATTGTGATACCTAATTCTCACCTAGTTATGGTTGTTTAATCAAATTCTTGATCAACTGACACAACAAGCTCAATCCGAAAGCTATCGTAAAATTGTCCAGCGGCACTAAATACGCCAATATCGGACTTATCCGAGGCGTCAGCGCATAAACGCTAGGCCGAATAGGATGCAATAAATTAACAGCATTGGTTATTGGTAAGTGAAGAACATCATTGCATTGCAGATGAAGCCACAGCACACCAAGCCTGGTGCCGAATATATTCTGATAACGTTCAAGTTATCACCAATTATACCGAATATTATCATTCCTATGATATTGGTGAGGCCGATCAAAGATAAAGCAAACGAGGGTTGGTTTTCACCACAAACCAAATGCACATAAACGATCTTCGAAATGATTAACAAAAAAATGCAGTTCGTTGAATAAAGACAAACTACGTAGTCTTCGTGGTTGATTTGAACTTATGCAGGCTCAACATGGCGCATTGGTAATGCATGGAATTTTTCCGGAAACGGATGTATTGCAAATAGTTGCGGCTTTGACCTCTGGATCGTCGTGGTGTTCGTTTTGCTACGTCTTTGTCGGGATCAAGGAACAAGTTTTTATTAAGTCTGGTACTCCATTGAATCTGCAGCTGAAACTGTTACCTGCTCCATGTAATGACTGGACCTCGAATTTTCTGAGGCTCGATATCGTGCAAGCTCATGTTTGAAAAAAAAATCGTCTCAAACGCGCTTTTATATTATAGAATTTCTGGGAATTTTCTAGAATAATGTTGTCGAGCTTCATGTTCTAGCTTAGTTTTCCTAAAACTGAAAAATGAAAAAATTCACCCCACATTACTTTAAGTACGTGATTTTATTTCAGGAACTATAGGTCCAAATGAGCTGAAATGCTCAGGGATTCTAGTCCTTCACGGGAATAAAATCGCTGAAAATTTCAGCTTTCTGAAGTTTTTAAAAATCTAAATCATAAGATATGTACCGAGTGGACAGATGACGTGCAAAAACAGTAAATTATTTTATCAATTTTAAATCTTACTTAGAAATTATTAGAACATGGCGGGGCTGCACCAAATTTATTAGGTACCTACGTGCAGAAATGATATTATATTTTATTATCTAAAAAGCTATTTACAAAAACTCATCCTCATATAGCAGAAAGAAATTTTGAATTAATCGTGGGTTGATTCTTGAAATTTCAATAATACCTACATGAGTAGTTATTTCCGATCGGGGTTTTTGAACGTTTTGAGATTATAACATTTTTTCAAGAAGCCGCACAAACAACTAATCGACCTTTACTTTTTCGAAATTGCTGAAAAATATATTTTTCTTCGTTCATTCTGTCGGAAATTGATACTTACAGATAAACCAAAAGAGGGCACCATACTCGACCAAAAACTGCGTTAATAATTCGAAAAGGATTGATCTGGTAAAGTGGTTCTGGTGTAGAGGTGGTTGCTGTGAATCCTACACTATACTGACTTCCGTTTTGAAAATTAGTTTGAAACGACACCTTATGGTACCTACCCACTGAATGTAAAATAGTTCACCAGCACTTCACCAGCTGTTACAGTTTATGGGAATAAATTCGTTAGGTATAGCTACTATACAGAAAAATATTAGTCCTAATAGAATGACTCACTGGAAACCATATAACCTCTTCTAATATTGGATAATTGCTAAAAATAAATTTTTCAAAATTGCTCAAGGACCAGATAAACTCGAAATTCAATTTTTGTTATTGTCAAGAGGTTAAAACTCATTTTACACACGAGTAGGTAAAAAATTCCATTTTGATATTAGTTGTCTGTTAAAAAAAAGTAGCGGTCATTGTGGAATAAAACAAGAATGTTCAACAAAATCTTCGACGAAATCTAACAATTCGGAAGATTTAAATAATGATGAAGTATTTGAAGCTGACACGAATACATTGAAAGCTGGAGAAGAATTCAGTTCCTGGTACAAAACATTTCAAAATTTTATTGCCGATCAATACCTAATGTTATCGCAGAACTCAGTATATAAACAATTGCAGCACCTACGGCGGCTTCAAAACTTTCCAGAAAAAAATTTATAGCTGGAAACTTTAATTTTGCAGCTATCACTAAATCATTAAATCCGGAACTTCGTAACACAACTTTTTGAACCGCATAGTAGATTCCTGAAAATAAATAAAACCTATAGGTGTTTGAAAATCTGCCCTGTGAAAAAAATTGAACTTTTTATAACATTTCAACAAAAGTTTCTTCTTAATTTTTTATATCTTCCGCAAGAGTAAAGTCTACCAAAAGCTGTCACTTGATGATCTTGATGTATAGGTACTCCCGATTAAAGTTAGTTTTTTTCTTCCATTACTACTTCCTCTAATGCATATTTGTTTTGATCTAATAATTATTATTGTTTCCGTCATATATAACCTGAGCACAATCCATTTCGGAATGTGTTCGAATTGGCCTAGCCAGATGCCAAATATTCTACCACAATTTCGACATCTGACATTAGAATCAGAATGTCCGAATTCTTCTTCAATACGTATTTTTTTTATTTCAGATCCCAGTATAGCACCAATATGCCCACCACCATCACCATTGTGTTTAGCTATCAACCATGTCAATATAGCGTCCAGAGAAATATGCACGAAACTGACCATTGGCCCACTAACACTGGTCAAATTTCCATGCGCTGGTATAACGGACGGTCAAATTGTTGTAACCTCAAATAATTACGTTAGAAAATAAAACATATTTTAAAAGTTTGAATACTTTTGTGGTGTTTAGGGGTTCTTTCTGTTATCAATAAAACTAGTCAGAACGATAATGAGTGTTGTATTAAAAATATCACAGTTAAGATTATTGTCGGGCTTAAATTACAGGGTACATTGGACGAGGCGCGTGCCTTGTCTTTGGGCTGTTCTCTAGTGGACTGGTTCTTCCAGTCGCTGTGTCATGGAGCTTCATACTTTGTTTTTTTCCGGAAGTAGATGGCGCTGATAGGCGGTTGCTTAATCGGTTGCTCAGTTGGTTGCCTATACGTATATAACACCTCTCCTCTAAGATTTTTCAAAATCTAAAATAAATTCAGTACTATCATAATAACAATATTTACATTTACACATCGGTACAGTACAATTAATAGTTTACGCCCGGTATTCATAGTGCCTACCTGAGTGCTGAGGATCCCTTAAAGGTTACCTTGGCAGTAAATTGTCTTTCAGAGTCAAAATTGTCAAGGCGTCCTTATCGCAGCTCATGCGTATTTTGTCACATTTCCTTTCTTGACTTGAGGAATGTCCAGAGGTCCCTTGAGACTGGTTTTCTAACCTATTGGTGACAGTACGTGAACCTAATTGATGACAGTACGTGAACTGTATTTTATCGATGTATAGGTAATTAGTATGGATGAGCTGGAAAATTTATTTGTAGAGATAGGTGCCGCTGATAATGATAACCGCGTGTGGCTAAATTCAGCTGGTGCAGGCACCGTAGTGAAATGGTAGAAAAAGCAGTATTAAATTAAACAAGCATAAGCATGCATTAGTGAGTCGATAAATCATCGCATCCCTGGCACTGCAACATTTTGGTGAATTTAGCCCCACGAGGGTTGTGCTGCGGAGGCCAAGAAGGTTTATTCGAGGCATGCAGAATCCATTAGAGTTCTAAATTGAAGAAGTAGTCCATCTTTCAAAGTGTAGTTGAAGTTTGATTCCAAAAGAATACACAAAGTCTTCCTTCAGAAAATACTTTGATCTAGTTAAAGCGCCCTACATGTTTCGAGGCTAGAAGACCTCTCCATCAGGGGCTATCGCTCACACATTACAAATTATTTTAGGTCACTATGTCCGCATTTGGCAAAGGAAAAGGAACAGAAAGTTGAAACAGTGAAAAGTTAAATCATTAAAAAAGACAAAGATAAAAAAAAAAAAAAATCTTCAACTTTTCTCTCTACAATTTTTCGATTTCTGGTCGTCTAACCCCACTTTTCACATATTTAAGGCGGACTTTTTAAATTTTCCGCCATGACTGTGGTCACATGACATCTGTCACAGTGATTTTTTTTGTTGATGGGTATGCTGAATTGATCCCACGTAACATTTTTTTTGATATCTTAATAATAAAATATTTTCCCATTTGTTGCAAACTTTTTGGCGGTCACTCTACATATATGGGTCTTAAAATTGAGGATAAATTTTGGATGAATTTTGAATAATAAGTTATCATGCCTAACAAACTACGAACTTCAGTTACATTATGGGGCGGCTCTGCTTCACATATAGCCTTAATTTTGTCTTCAGCCTTGTGAAGACCATGCTTACTTATTTTATGTCATTTCTCTCGGCGCGCGGCGTAGCGTCGATCCGGCATCGCTGAGTTTCTGCAAAACTTTACATAAGGTTTTTAAATGACTTTGCTTATCAGGACCTGTTATTAATAAATCATCTTGGTAGTCTGAAACATACTCCATACCTTGGAACAACTGTTCCATGTATTTTTGACATTTACTGCTGCCAGGAGTAATGCCAAAGGGCATTCGATTTATAGTAAAAATACCTTTATGCGTACTCAATCTGAGGATTTCCTTAGCATCGTTATCTAATTCAAATTGATTATATGCCTGATTTAAATCTAGTTTAGTGAAATGCTCACCGTTATGCAGTTTCGCAAAGATTTCCTCCACCAACGGTACTGGGTGATGTTCTTCTTTCAGCCATTTGTTCACCGTGCTCTTATAGTCTCCACACAACCTCAGTCCACCATCGGCCTTGATGACGATCACGACAGGTGTTGCCCATTCACTCGTTTCAGTTGGGGTCAGGATACCATCCTTCACCATTTTGTCTAATGCCTCGTCAACCTTCTCTCGATATGCCAGTGGTACAGGCCTGGGTTTTAAAAATATGGGAATAGCACCTTCTTTTAACTGTAAAGAAATTTTTGCATGTTTAAATTTACTCAATTTGTTATTAAATACGTCTGGAAAATTTTCAATAATATTATTTATTTCATTTTTATGAGAAGCTGATTTAATAGTGTTTACCATTTGAAACTTTATATTAAATAAATTTAGCCAATCTCGACCCAATATGTTTGCAGCACCATCCTTTACAACGTACAATTTGACAGGTTTACAAACATTTAAATAATCAACATTTACTACAAAATATCCACTAGGAGCAAACAATCCTCCATTATAACTACACAGCATTATGTTATCTTTAATTAATTTACATTTATTAGCAAAATGTTTTTCATAATATTTTTTATTAAGTCCAGAAATTTGGGCTCCTGAATCGATCATAAAAACATGTTGTTTATTATCAATTTTTATGTTTACATTAAATGGATTATTTTAAAAATCTTTGTCAAAAATTCCAAACATTGTTGCTGCTGTAGTTTCCTGCTCAGGCGGTTACACACGGACGTGGATGTTTGAAAACATGTACGCACATACATGAACGCGCAAACAAAAACATCAATGTGTATGCAAAATATCGTCGCGTTTTTGAATGTGCAATTTTGTATGCACACTCGGAATACTGTAGCAAGAATAGCAAGACTGCATTTTTGTGCGAGCGTCTGTACAAATGCGCCATGCACGTTGTTGTTTGCACGTTGATGTATGCACGTATATGTATCAAGTCATCCACTCCGTGTATAACCGCCCCATCATCGGATTCTCCACATTCAGAGTCAGAATAATAATTATTAAAATTTTGTACATACCCATTGTTTGCTTTGTTTACAAAATTAAAACCTGTGTTTGTTGTGCAAACCTTGGCCAGATGACCCGTTTTTTTACATTTATCACATTGGTACGTCCTGTACTTGCATGGGGGTGGATGACTTTTTCCACAGCACCTGCATTTTTGACCCTCTTTTCCATTTCTTCTTGTCGACGCTGATCTAGAACGATTTCGGCCGCCATGTTGGCCTCGATCTGTCACTCGCTGTCGATGTCCACTTCCATTCCATCGTCCTTGCTCGTTGACATTGTGGTAGTGGGCGGATCCTTTACCATGGTTGCTGCCATGTCGTCCATTTTGATTTTGCGGGAATTTGGAACCTCTTTGTTCACCTATGACGTAATTTACACGCGGATTTGCTGAATTTTCTTCATTTTCGCAATTTTCTCGCTGCATCGTCAAGGTAACGAGTTCTTCCAACGCTTTAGAACACTTTTCTTCGCATATTCTATCCAATATTGAACCTTTTTGCAAACCACATACGAACTTATCTCTCAGGACATTGTTCAGGTCATTTTGAAAATCGCAATTTATTGCTAGGCTTCTTATTCTTGCATAGCATCGGCCACGTTTCCACCATTTTCCTGCCTCGACTCATAAAACCTTCTTCTCTCTCTCCATACATTTATTTGGGGACCATATTGCTTGTTTAGCAGATTAACCAGAGCCTGGAACGACTTTGACTTCGGTAATTCGGGATGGCACAGATTACGCAACAGTTTGTAAGTTTGGACGCCAATCATACTTAAAAGCGTCGCAATTTTAATATTTTCTTCTTTGATGGCATTCACCGTAAAATGCTGCTCGAGCCGTTCTTGGTATATCGTCCAGTCATCGGATTTTTCGTCGAATTCTGCAACCTCGTGGCAGCCATTTTGTACTTGATCACTTACGTCGCGGTTTTACCGATTTAAAACACCGACCTCGTCGCCAGTTGTGGTGTTTAGGGGTTCTTTCTGTTATCAATAAAACTAGTCACGAACGATAATGATCACAGTTAAGATTATTGTCGGGCTTAAATTACAGGGTACATTGGATGAGGCGCGTGCCTTGTCTTTGTGCTGTTCTCTAGTGGACTGTTTCTTCCAGTCGCTGTGTCATGGAGCATCATACTTTGTTCCTTTCCGGAAGTAGACGGCGCTGATAGGCGGTTGCCTAATCGGTTGCTTAGTTGGTTGCCTATACGTATATAACAACTTTATTATTTTATTGTGGTCTGCCCAATATGTTTTGATGCATAGGTAACCATCGACCTGGGTACTTTCATCTGAAGAGTGGGTGCAGCTTGCCCTATATACTAAAAGCACATCAATGTCCGTTCACGGAATGATCGAAGACAGTCAGTGGGGTGGGACCGGCCGTTTATGGTGCATAACCGAGAACTAGGATATCTATCAGTCTAGAGAGAGCAATAAAGCTTAAAGTTTAAAGCGGAAGTACAGGCCGTTGAAATGGGTGTGAGAAGGCTGCAGAATCGACCTCAAACTCACATAACCATAAAAATATGTTCTGACAGCTAACCGGCTCAGCTTCAGCTAATGTAGGTAATTCAAGCTCAGTCTCGAGCTGTCAGAAAGCTCTAAGCAAATTAGGGCAGGAAAATAAGGTAACCCTAATGTGAATACCGGGACACGTTACCCTTGAGGGTAACGGAATGACGGATCTCCATGCCAGAGGGGAAGTCGAAACCAACTTCGTATCTCAGGTCGGGCAACGGTTCCACTGGGAAACCTGAACAACATCTCTCCAACTTCATTGGAAAAATAGGCATGATTGGAGAAATATAAATAGGCATGAGACAATAGACCAATGAGTCGCGGTGGAGGCCCGTGATAGGCCCATTCATTTTCGACCTAACCTAACCTAACTTAACCCTAGTAGATCAATATCAATTTTTCCAAAGATTGTGCTTACTTACTTGTTACAAGATGCTCAATCCATCAATTTTCTTAGAGGTGCATTTTATAGCAGATAACCTTCTGATCTATTTTTTGTTAG